GAAGTGAGCTGACTCTAAAAAGCTTTGAATAGTGTCAGTGGGGTCCTTCACAGTTATTATGTTAAAAGCAGGATTGTTCCTTTCTATGATTACCTCCGGCTCAGTTACTAACCAAGTGAAAACAAGACGGTTTGGGCTGAAGATTCCTGCATGTAGTATTGTCATATCTTGCTTTTCCTCCTTATCTCAAGACACTTGCTTTAGAAATCTCAAAGGGTAAAACTAATCACATTCCAAAAATTAACATTTTTTCATCAGAGAAAGTTATTGAAACCCTCTTTAGTAAATATACATACTATGATCTCATTAATTTTGGAAATAAGAACACAAGTTGCCATTCTAAACAGAAATAGCTCATTTGGATAATGCATTTAATAGTGGTTTGGCCAAGAAGCCAACATCAGAGCAATCAATAAAAATATCTGAATAATCTACTTAAAACCCAATGGGTCAAAAAATAAATTTCAAAAATAAATTCCTGAGTCTCATCCAAATCCCACTATTAAAAATAAAAAGGAATTATAGAAAAAAATCCTGAATGACTTTTAATTTCCTTAACCACTGTGCATTGCCTTCCTCTTTAGATTAAAATTCAACTGGAAAAGAAAATGTTGATACCAGTGACCATACATCAAACATGCTTCTTATTTATAAGCAGATTTGACAGTTTACTTTGGCTGATGTTTTTCAACTGTTGGGAGAAGTGAATGAAAACTCCACTATTGGGACAGGGCACTTTTTGCTTAAGACAGTACGATTTCAACCTGTCATTGACTCTGACCCACCAAGAAAAACCAAACAATTACACTCACATTCACATTCACATTATAGACTGCAATTTTTAAGAATTATTTAAAGAAATATTTAAAAGTATGTGTCTGGAAAAACTTTAAATGGTTGAACTAGATAGTTCTTGTAATGTCAGTATTCTATGAAATAAAGTTTTCTCCCTAAGGTCTGACTGCTATGCTGGACAAGTTCCTTAACCTATACCTTCATAGGGTTATTGCAAGAATTAAATTTGATAACCTAAATAAAATGGTTATCATAGTGAGCTCTTGATAAATATAAGCTTAGTTGACTTATTTAACTTCCAAGCCTAAGAGTAAGGAAGCAGATAGATTCTACTCAGTCTTTTCTCAGCCCTCACCTTCATCATCTTCCTAGTTCCAAGTCCAAATTGTCACTGGCCCTGACTCTCATAAAGAATGCAAACACATGGGTCTTAACCTAAAAATGAAGTGACAGAAAATTTCAAGTCAGAATACAGACCAAAACTTAGAACACATAGCATATAGTTAAGAATTTTGTTATAAGAGTGTCTGCCCATGTGGAATCATGTATCTTGAATAGGTCATGATTATTTTAATATAAAAAGTTGAAGGATGAACTACTCTAGTTTTTATTTGTATAAATTTAAGGGGCACATATTTAGTTTTGTTACATAGATATATCAATGAACTATTCTGTACCTTGGTTGCTTACCAATATGCATACTTTTTTCACAAAATTGAGAATTTCTCCCAAGCAGTGTAAGTGGAATTAAGAAAAATCATAAAATTTACCTATCTTTCTCTTCTTTCTCTCTTCCCTCAGAGGAGCCTCATTCTATGTTTATTTGATTTGTAGTTCTAAATTCCCAGATAAGTATCAAGCTTTATGTTTACATGCCAATGACTAATAGTTATTTAGCAAATAATTTCTCAGTCAACCTCTGACCAGAGAAATCTCTAAAACCTAAAAGAATATTTAGATAGAAATCACATCGCCATCAATCCCTGAAATCTCTTCTAAAATCTAGAAGACTATTTTGATAAAGAGTACATCATGGATACTCTTCCATGAAAGAATGAAAAGGTGATAATTTGTCATAATGTGATTTTCACCTGTAAGAAAGATAATTTTTCCATTGACCTAATGGCGTCTTGATATAAGAAGGCAACAGCTATTATCTTTGTTTTCTTATTTATTGGTGGAGGAATGGTCGTATTCGGTACACTACAAACAGTGAACTTGCCCATAATTACACTTCTACTTTGTAGCAAAGCTAAATTCAGAATCCAAGACAAAGCTCAGATACTAATCTTAAGATGTTTTGCAAAAGACTGCTTTTGTCTTTCCCCCATTTCCATTAAGATGAGATGAGAACTACTTTTAAACCTAACAGAAAAAATTTAGTACAACATTAACATGGTTATAAAATATTAATATTTGAAAGTTATCCATGTGTGATATGCACATTCTAGATAAATATTCTCATTACCTACACGTAATTTTGGAAAATAAACTCAGAGAAAATTGCTTAAAAGATAAAAATTATACAAGATAATAGAATTAATTAGGACTATGATGAATAATTTCACAAATATCTGCCACTGCATACTTCAAAACAGTCACTGCTCTGAAGACTAATATTAAAAAAAAATTTCCAAATGATTTTAGTTATTTAAAATGGACAAGATCTCACAGGTTGAACAAAATCTCCTTAAACAGAAGGGAAGATGTGATTTGCATTTGGGCTCCACTAAGGTTAATTTTGATAGTGGTACTTTAGTTGGTGGTCATAATTAATTTTCCTATTAAAGTGTTGAGTACAAGAGAAGTACACATTTGTTCTAGGAGCAATTTCAAACCCCAAATTTTCAAATTGTTTTTCTCTGCTATGCATAAAGTTGTTTGTAAAAAATACTTAGGATATTTTTAGTTCTATACTTAATGTGAGATGCAACTAGTGTCATAAAACTTTTCCATTTTAATAATGAAATATGGGCCTGTATTTACCACTATGCCGGAACCATTTAAGTACCATTCATTTAGCTTTGGTATTGTCATCCAGCTTTTGTGTGCCTATTTGCCTTTTCTCTTAAGCTCTTCCACCTGCTAGATCACATTCAGTGCCACAATATCCTGATACAGACAGATAGAACTTGCCATTATAATACATTGCTCACATTTCCATTCTCATTTGACTTTTGCTATTATGTTACAGCCACCTGTCGAGGATACAGCATCTGATCTTACCTATTAATAACATCATAGAAAAATATTTAAGGTGCATAAATCGCTTTGGAAAATGTTTGGATTTCGAATACATATCCATTTACTCCTATGAATGCATTATTTAGAAATATTAAAACTTTTATTCTGGATGCACCAAGAGCCTCTATACAGTGTAGGAATAAAACATGCAGTTATCTGGTCCCCAAAAGAGCATCTACTGTCTATGCACTAGTTGAGGCAACACAGAACATGATTGTATCGTTATTGCATGTATTAAAGCAAGTGTTCACCCTTCATCCAAATCTGAGTCAATTCAACTGCTAAGATTTGTGGAATCTGGGAACCTAAAAGACTACTCTATATACAATGTTTGCTGAATACAAACATTCCTGCTGAAAACAGCAGGGTGCATTCAGCACCTCATCATATCATGCACACAGAGAACAGAGGTGGCTGAAAAAACACTATGATAACTGCACCATAAATAAACAATTGGTACTTTCCCTCCTTCTTGACCATCTGGAGTAATTCAAAACCATTATGTTTCTTGCATATAGGAACGATAATATTGTAGATTGATTAGGTGAAACTCTACATCAATGTCAGAACACAGTAAATATTTGTACCACTAATATGTAAAGGCATGAATTAGAACTTCAAATTACCATGCTGTTCACAGTCATTCTTTCATAGCTTTATACCAACAGTTATTTTTGAAGTAATGGCTAAAGTTAAACTAACAACTTCTGTACTCAGGTTTTTATTTTAATCACACATTCACCTTTAAAAAGCTTAAGCCAGACTTGACTTAAACAAATAGAAAAACACCCTGAAATTCAATAAACGTCAGAGGTCAAGAAAAAGCTACCATCCTTACCATGAAAGCAAAAAAAATCCCAATTTCAAGGCAGATACCTTACTCCATAATTATTTCATTTTGTTGTGTTTGTGGTAGGTAGATATTGTAGCATTACATGGAGAACGTGCTCCCCTGAAAACTTCCATTATGGTTAGTGGAAGTTATATGCACAAAGAAAGGAAAAGGGAGCCCATGGCACATATGTTTTGAGACTCCTAAATTAGAGGCACATCTTGTGGGCATGTGAAGTTCAATAGAAATTCTAAAATAGCAACTGTTTTTATAAATTACTGCTTTGCACTTCTCGAGTCTGAATGTAATAGTGTGTCTTTCAGTTCTAGTGGCTTTGGTTGAGGATACTTGGAGATAGAAAAGCGCCTAAAAATGGGTATAATAGACCAAAATATCTCCTTTGATTTTGCCATCAACTTTTGCATATTGTTAAGATATATGTACAGGTAGTCCAGTAATATATAAACTACTAGCATATATTTTCAACTTTATGCAAACACTAACTCCCGTGCTCCCAATCTTAAATGCTGTGCATACACTGACTGAAAAGTATGCTTCTCTGAACAACTTCCTAAAATATATTTTAGTCAAAAGAAATAAGTTCTCATGGGTTCTTACAAGTGAATGTGTATTTTATTCTCAATCCATATCATTTAAGGGACTAGCTCTATACAGGACAACTCTTTGTGACTTTTTAGAAAAACTTGATAATAGGCACTTTCTACAAAGAGGATTTGAATTCGAAAGACTAAAATTCCGTCTTTAGTATCCCCTTTTCATAAGTGGATCTGCCTGAGCCACGATAGTTTGTTGAATCAACTCAGCAGAAGTCCAGCAGTAGAACTGCATGCAAAAAAAGCTTTCAAAAACTGTAACCACAATAAAATGATAGAAAAGCAGTTATCTGAGTCGAGCAACTTAATACCTACTACTTGGTTTGTTTGTTTCTTACCACATTTCATGTGTTATCACTACAAACACTAAGATTCATGTGTCAACAATCTGTACAGGTGTTTCATTCTTCTAAGTTACAGATATGCCACAAAAATTTATCTATCTGTTTACATTCTTTTTTATTTTATATCACAATAGTTAGCATTTTGATATGATTACTTAAATGCTTTTTTTAATGTTTATTTGCTAAGAAACCTTTCAACGTCACTCTTGAACATGTTTTGGAAATACAAATTTAGAGCATTCATCAGCTTTGGAAATTCAGCATCTCTTACACGAATTGTTAAAAGGCCCTTATACCCTGTGGTGCAGTGTTTCTATAATAACATACACTATATTAATAGTTTAGTATTTATGATGTTGATAATGTCAGCCTACAAGATGGCAGCTGTTCTCCAAGAAAGACGGAGTAGGGATTTCCTTACAGAAGAGCTAATGATTACTATCTAAGTATAATGTTAAAAAAGGAGAGGTATAGTTGAGCAAAAAAATGTAATTCATGCACAAAACCCATAGCAAGAAGTTTTCAATATCGCACACTGTTATCTGACTTAGGCAACAAAACAGTCATTTAAATGGAGCAAACAATGCCTGTAGGGGAAAAGAACCTCACCTAAGTCACAGAAAAATATCCTATGGAAAGAGATCATAACGTGGTACTAATAGTTTAAAAGACTGAACTCTTCATTGGCATTAATCTACAATTTTAACTTAACAGAACAGTGAGAAAATGATAGCTCGATATACATACTCAGCCTGAGATCAAATGTGTCATGGCAACATTGGCAGGTTGGACCCTGATTCTTCAAATATTACATTGCCTTGGGTAACAAAAATCATACTCTTTTATTATAGATTAGAGGTTATAAACAAATGTAAAGTGTGCATGCAGTCAACTGCATAATATACAAGCAATATCTATGTGTTTAATAATCGTCTTCTTTGGCAGGCCAGAATCCAGCTGGACATGCAATATTTACATATCAAAATCCACGTTGTCACCATATTGAAAGCAAGTGAAAATATATATATGTATATACGATATATACACATGTATATAGATGTATATACTGTTTTTAATATATTAACAAATATATATGTATATATATTAAAAGTGGATTTCATCTTTGTCAGATTCAGGTGATTCAGGCCTTGAAACACTAAAAATATCCTGACATGGTATTTGGGGAGGTACTTGGAGTGGCATTTGGGATTTGGGTGATGAGGACTGGGGCACACTTTTCTCTGACAGTATTTTTAAAATTTCTGCCACCTGCTTTTCTAGAGCAGTCATTCTGCAGCTGAGCAGCTGGATGTCTTCTTTGAGTTCATGTTTGACTTCCTGCAGTGTGGTCTGTAAGGCCTGCTCAGGGATGGGATAAAAGGGGTGCTTGGCATCAGCCTGAATGGGACTGTGCTCTAGTGGACTTCGGGCCTCCCCAGCCTTATCCAAACGAAGGTCACTTTTTGTAATGCCACTGTCACAAGAATCTGTTTTCCTTAATGGGTTTTTGGTCACACTGTTTTCTGAATCACTGCTCTTGGGGTCCTCGGACAATAGCCCCATGGACTCAGCTTTAGTGACATTATTCCAGTCTTCCTTTTTCTCCTCATGGGCTCCCATATTATTCTTGAGTCGCAGCCACCCTTTCCCATTTCCATTCTTCATTCTTATTGGGCTGTTGACTTTGAGACACTTTTGATCAGCACCGCCATTGGGCTTGAGTTCCATGGCATCACGGTTGTTCTGCTTAAGGGATTCGCTGGTTTTCACATAGGCCAGAGACGTCTGAATGGGAGTAATCTGTGACACAGTCACCACACTGGTGCCAGTGATGGAGGCTCCATTCTGTAAGGAACGGCTTTCTACCTGGAGTTGGTTCCTCTCGGGGTCACTCTGTGTTGACCCCTGATTGCGCAGCTCCTTCTGCTGCTTGAACTTCTGGAAGAGCTTTCTGACCGGGTGGTCCACAGGGATGCTGAGGGTCACCTCATTCTTCTGCCGGAGGCGCTCCTCCTCCTCCTTCTTCACATCGCTGATCTTACGAAAGATGATCTGTGGAATGGGAGAGATAGTCACAATGTGATTATAAAAGCAGATGTATTAACAGTTGTGTGATACTCTGCTGTACATGCTTTGTGTTGCAAAGAAAACCCTTGAACATTCCGTAAGATTATTTCTGAAGAAAAAAAAATTCCAATGTCATTTATGGAATTGCATTTATGAAATTTACGGATGCAAGATGCCTTAAACCCAACATAGAAATGTTGGCTACTTATTTACTAGTTGTAGTCCCCAACATATCAAAGGAAGAATAACTCAAGAGACAGCTGAATAGAGGTACTTTGCTCCTACTGTATGTTCCTAATATATTACCATTAAGCAGGAAATAGACAAAAACATACATGTATATATTTGTATATGTATATATGTATATACATATATAAGGAAATACTGAATTATCCCTTAAATTTCCCTGTAATGAATTGCTACTTTTATACGTTTCCTTATTGTGTAGAAATAAGATTCGAAACCATTTTTAATATTATACTCTCTGCTGGGTGCAGTGGCTCACATCTGTAATCCCAGCACTTCGGGAGGCCAAGATGGGCAGATCAGGAGGTCAGGAGTTCAATACCAGCCTGGCCAACATGATGAAACCTTGTCTCTACCAAAAATACAAAAATTAGCCAGGCATGGTAGCATGCACCTGTAATTCCAGCTACTCAGGAGGCTGAGGCAGGAGAATCGCTTGAACCTGGGATGCAGAAGTTGCAGTAAACCAAAATCGCACCATTGCACTCCAGCCTGGGTAACAGAGCAAGACACTGTCTCAAAAAATATATATATTCTTTGTTTGGGCATCAGATAGTAAAAATTCCAGGCTATAAATGCACTGAGAAGTTAGGCAGTTTAGCAAACGGACCTGGGTTGGGTAGGGGGAGGATTTAAATTTATTTATGTTTACCCTAGAAGGCAGAACTAGAATTTGTGAGGAAAAGTTTCTGGGAGGCCATGCCAGCTCACTATATAGACTTCATTGCAAACTGCTCTCTATTGAATAAATCACCTTGAAAACTCATGATCTTTCTACCACTAAAAGGTAAAATAGAAGTATGTTTTCCACGTGATGTGTTCACTGGGTTAGAGGTTGAAATCTTTAATTTTCAACATTCTTTACATCTTAAACATAAAATTAAATATATAGTACAGGTGAGGGGTTAGATATCCACAAATAAGTATCATTTTATTTAAAATGTATTTTGAAAATAACATTGGGAAGAACTTATGATAACCCCATTAAAAGAAATTTTTAAAATGTTGGCTATATAAGAAATTGCCACATAGATTATCAGAGTTGGAAGTAAAGTTAGTAAGTGTGAGATTTTGCTGAGAGTCCTGAAAAGCAAAGTAACTGCAGGTGAAAGCTGTAAGGAAAATCAAAAAGGAGTCACATTAGGTAAGGCGCTTTCAGAATCAGACAATTTTATGACAACGAAAATTACTTACCTCGATCACCCTCTGTATGCTGTTGGTTAGATCAGAAACACATGTGAAGTACACATTCTCTAACCTATAATAGACACTCAACATACGCTGGTTCACTCTCCTTGACCTCTCATAAAATACACCTATCTGAAACCATTGATTACCTTTTGAATATTCAGCAGCTGCCTGGAGTAATATATAATCCTGATTTTACACCAAAAACCATACTATTGATGGTCACTGTTAAAAGTCAGAAAGGTAGCCATTCCTCTTCCAGGTAAGAGTACATCTTCTAAAATGAGATTAATGCACTAAATTCAGCTTATCAAGTGGCAATAATTTGTATTTTAAAATAAATTCTATAACTATCTGTAAAGGCCAACATATTTTTTTCTCATTAGTGGTACATGAAATTGGGTCTTTTAAAAATATGTAACAATAATCTCAAATTCTGACATCAAAGCTCCAGCAGTTTAATTAGAAGTCTTTCAAAAGGTTGACACATTTCTTAGGCTTTCTAAATAAACAGAGGTTGTACTTAATAAGTCTTCAAGATATAAACACATTTTTTTTTTGAGAAAGAGTTTCACTCTTGTTGCCCAGGTTGGAGTGAAATGGTACACAACCTCTGCTTCCTGGGTTCAAACAATTCTCCTGCCTCAGTTTCCCAAGTAGCTGAGATTACAGGCATGTGCTACCACACCCGGCTAATTTTATATTTTCAGTAGAGACGAGGTTTCTCCATCTTGGTCAGGCTGGTCTTGAACTCCCGACTTCAGGTGATCCACCCACCTCGGCCTCCCAAAGTGCAGGGATTACAGGTGTGAGCCATCACACCCGGCCTGAACATTCTTTAGAACCAGACATACCCAGACACAGAAACACAGATATTCTTTTCCCATTTCAGCCCCTTTTTGAAAAAGTACTCACTTCGGTTCTATGGGTGGACGTGAGAGGCCTAATATATATGATTTTCCACATCTCCCTTCCCACTCGTCACTGACCCTTTTTTTTTTTAAGTGGTTGTTTAGCCTAAGATAGGCATAGCGTTGGTTGGATATGATAACACAGAACAGCCTTCACATTTGGGAAAAGGGAATCATCTCAAAGAGTGAGTGGAGCGTGACAGGTAAAATGCAGGGCCCTCGTGCAATATTTGGGACACACTAAAAACATCATATATTATAAATCGGAATTTGGACATATGTATCCTTTAACAAACATCCATCATTTATTAGAATTTTAATTTTACCTGTGAGTCCTGTATTTTTATTTGCTAAATCTGGCAACCTTTTTGGTATATAATAGACAAGGACATTCCTATCTTTGTGATGTCTATGTGTCCTGCCGTGGAAAGAGACTAAACTGAAAGATTTGGTATTACTGACAACTGAGAATTTATGAGCACCTTAGGCAAGAGCCTTATTTTTTTAGATTTTCAATATAATGGCTAATAATTGCTTGCAATTATTGTGTGCTTACCAAGTTTGTGATGCAAGATGGTAACATGCCCATAAGAATATCAGTAAAATAAATCTTTCCCAGCTTCCTTGACCACCAGCTGCACCACCCACCCAACCAAGAACACATAAAAGTATATGAATTACTACTACTTAGCTAGAAACAGAGACTCCAAATACCAAAATACATAGAGTAAAGGGGGTCCTGGCACAGGGCTTGTTTTCTCATCTCTGCCGGGGACAAATGAGACAGAGCTAGATCTTCATTTTGCTGTCAAGAAATGTAAAAGTAACTAGGAAAGAGAAAGAATCAAGCTCTGGTACATTAGATGACAGAATTCTGAGTACTGCACAATGCTCCTTTTCCCCTGTTTACTCCAGAGGCATAGGAAAGGAAGTAATTTTAAACATAGCTCCCTTGGGATTTAGGGGTACTTAGGACCAGCAACACTGGGCCAGAATTCTTGCCAAGTTTGCAGAACAGCAGAACCTCCACATCTGGTCTCAGGAGCCAGCAATACACAGTGGGAAAAATGTGCTCTTTAGAGGGCAATTTCCCTCTTTGCTCCTCGCCCTTCGCTTTCCTTTATAGTTCAGAGGGGCATTGATGGGGATCCCCTAGAGCTCAGAAAGCCACTGAAGGTAGTCATTTGTGAATTTAGTCTGCTAGAAACCAGTTAAAGCAAAAGCACTGCATGAGGTGGGCAAAGTTATTGCACCCTGTAGGTCACCTGCCACCAAGGACTTTCAGACCGTCAGTTATCCCACACACAAAGAGAGCCAGCAGTTGGACATGACCAGCTCAAAAGCCAACACTCTGAGGAGTGGCTACAGGCCCTCCAGATCTCAGATACAAGCTTTAGGTCCTGAAGTATATCCCCCTTTCTCTTTAGCAGCAGGCCTGCTGGCAATCTTCAGCCCAGCTACAAGAGACACAGGTGCAGGAGATGGGGTAGAAAGAGAGGTAATGAGATTTATCACCCAATCGATACAATGTGAACTGAAGCCTAACTGAAAACAATAACACTTGGATTTGTTTAACTACTTACTATAGCCAGGTTTTTAAGTAAGAGGTAATTTTTTTTAAAAAATTACTAGTTTGAATTGACTTTATAGGATCAGATTACATTTATTTTATTTTTGACTATGGAACAAAATAATGACATTGTAAAGTGATTATAAAATATCTGTATATAGCAAAGTGGTCACTTCCACACATGTATTTTCTCGTTTAAGTGTCATAAATGAGAAAATTTTACAAGATAGGTCCTATTATTCTCTACTGTATGACACAGGTCCTACTATTCTTATATTACAGAGAGGCAAATTGAGGCATAAAGAGTTTAAGTGGTTTCTCTTAGGTTACAAACTGTGTGTCCAGGATACAAATCCAAGGGGTCGGATTCCAAACAGTCTTAACCATTCCACTCTCCTACTCCTCAAGGCAAATTTTATATTTTCTCCTGGACTCTGTGAAAACCTGGATTGATGAATGAGTAAAGTAGGAAGTCATGCAGCAATTTCACAGGCAGCAGGTTACCCCTCACAGGGCATTTGCCCTGGAGAACCATCCCTGAAGGCAGTGAACTGAACAAGATTGAATGAAGCTCTATACCTGCTGGGAAAATGGTAGCCTTGACTGGCACCTTGGAAGAGCTTTGTGGGAGGCAGTCTCTAGACCCTCCTCGCTCTCCAAAGCAGAACCAGTAGGCTTCAATGCATGCTACCATTTTGTAGCTTCTGGTCCCCTTCAAGGATGCCTTGTGTTTTTGCTTTGTTTTTAATTTCCTTCTACATATATTAAACACACTGCCTTTACGGAAGGCAGCGGGCAGGGATGGTCAAAGAATGTGATTTTTCCATGGACTCTGACATCATCCTTGATTCCACTTACACCTAAATCACTTGTTGATGAGAATAGGGATTTCTGTCTGCTTGCTAATTGCTATATCTCCAGTGTCTACAACATGCCTGCCACATTGAAATTCTTAATAAATAAATGTTATTCATTAGTTCAATAACTTTTTCATACATTCAGCAAATGTATGTTTGTGAATGTGTTTATGGATGGAAAATGTTAAAAATAAGAACGACACTTTCTAGTTC